ATACATAAAATTAAATTAGCTTACTTTTGAGACTTGAGGCTTGATCACGAGTTAATTTTGCAGAAAAAATACCAGAAAAGTCTTCGTAGGTGTATCCGATGGCATCCTTGGCTGCCTTCTCACTACATTAATGTTTCCTCATACTATCACTATCCTAATTTAATTTAAACAATAAATAAAAAAAAACTATAAATATATCAGTAAAACTGCTGTTAGGTAATTCTAACGGTTAACTAGTCATATTTTTCGACAAATATACATACTTTCAAATTGTAATGTAATGCTTTCAAAAATAATATATATAGAGTATGACATTTCATATTGTAAGTATGCATTTTAGTTAAAAAAAAAAAAATTGCGACACATTGACTCGTCTAACGGTTAGATTGTCTTACACGAGATTTGTGTTCAAAAATAGATAAGCAAGAAAAGACACCTTCCAAGTACTGGGATCAAGAGTTTGTAAAAATCCATTGTGGGCACTGTTGGGTCGGTATAAACCACGTACACGTATGTTGTTTCGTTTGAAGATGGTTCGGGTCCTTTTGCGGGTTGAAAAGGGAGATTTGTATCATGGATTTCTGTGGCTGTGTAAGCCAAGAAAATTGATGGTGAGAAACACAAAAATGAGAAAACTAGGATATCTCGTCTCATTTTCTTATTTTATTTTTTTCATAAATTTAATGAGAATATTTTGTTGGGAGTTTTTAGTTTTGGCAAGTTTATGTTTGGTTCGGGTACTTATCGTTGGAATTTAGAGGTAACTTGTTAAGTTTTGTTTTGATTGTTGGCTCATTAAGTAAAAGGGGGTTTCAGTTTTGTGTTCAGTTTCTTTTTTAATTCTTCGTATTGAATGTTCATTGATTTACATATTTGAATGTGGGATTAGTAAAGTAACGGCCTTGATTTTTATGAGAAGTTAAGAGCACTAGTGGTGGGTGTTAATGTTTGGTCATTTGTCCAATTAGTAGGCACTTAAGTGTGGACAATTGGACAATGAATGAACCATGACTTCTATTATTTAATTGGATCAAATCTCCTCTTGCACTTTTACTAGTACTAGTATTCATCTCGTGCACGTGCATAAAGAAAAATAAAAATTTATATATTATATGTATGTATACAATATTTAAATTTTTATAAAGATAATGCATATATTACATTTTAAATTTTGACCATATGCAAATGTATAATGTAAATATAAATTATTTAACTTACGTATGAATCTTTATATTGATGCCATAAATTTTAATGGACAGTATAATTTTATAATTTAGAGGGACCATACAATTAATTAATTAGAAAAGTATTACAATTATTTTTATTATTGTTATAGCAATTGTTTATGTGATTTTAAGGTGTTTAATTATGACAATCATGCCAATTAACTAATATTAGATAAAAATCGCTTAAAAAGACAAAAAATATTTTATTTTATAAAAAACTATTTATTATATAAAAAATTGTAATAATTTTTTTATAAGTATGTAAGTTCCACATACTATTTAATGTAAAACTATAATCAGTATTAGTAGTAATATTATATAATAAATTAGTTTAAAATGGTCATTACACTTTATTAATGTAAAATGTAACGTTTCTACATTAATAGAAAAAATAAGCGGGAAATTTATGAAGGTTTTATTAAATAAGTTTTATTTATTGCTCTGTCAGCAATTATATAGATATAGATATAGATGTGTATATATAATATTAAAATTATAAATTTAGTTATCAATAAATGAACAGTATAAATATAAATTATTTAACTACACATGAATCTCTATATTGATTGCATAAAATGTAGTTCATAACATATTTTTTGTTTCTTTGACAGACCATTCCAATTAATTACCTAGAAAAATATTTAAAT